CAAGTCATCATCAAGTGTACCTATTTCAAGAGCAAATAATTCACACGATTTTTTTACAGTAGCTTAATAAGAACTTGATTTGAAGTGGTATAACGAAATCATGAATTATTTTTATAATATTATGTTTTTCTTTTAACATTCTTTTATAATTTGATAAAGTTCAAAGAACATATCAATACTAAGAAAATAATAGATTTAACACAATTTAACCATGTTTGAATTAACATTCAAATAGGAAGGGAATAATAGTTTTTAGTTTTAACACAATTCAATCACATTTGAATTAATATTCAAATAGAAAGGGAGTAATAGTTTTAGCACAACTCAACCATGTTTGAATTAACATTCAAATAAAATACAAAATCGATTTTATTTGGTTCCATTAGTAGACGTATTTCCAAGTAATTACTGATTTTGAATTAATATTTATTTACCAATTGTGGTTAGTGTTAAGACCAATACCAATTCTTATGAGGTTTAATTAGTTGCGCAACATCTGAGACTTCCTAAAAAAAAATTATTTTGATTTCACACACAAATATTTTCAAAATATTTTGAGTTAAATGTTGGTAAAATAAAAGTGATTATTTATTTTGAAACATGGATATTAGTAGTGAATCATGAGTTTTATGATATGATATAATAACATGATCACATCAAATCGATCATTATATAAAATATGATTTTTAATTATTTTATAATGATAATAGATAATATTTTATAATTTTAGATTAAATTACTTACATCTTCATAACAATAAATAAAATTTTACGCATCTAACAACTCGTGTTGACTACCATCTTATTTACTTGAACTAATCCTTACTAATATAAATATGAACAATAATATTATTACGTAAATCAACTAATATTATTTCATGTTATTTTACCATACACACACACACACATATATAAATCCATTCTAATTTAAATATTAATTAATTTATTCGTAATGAGAAATTTTTAGAATCGTTGAAATGACATGATAATGACAAAGCGATTAGAGAGTATTGAATGAATGGTGCACTTTTGAATATCGAATTGAAGAAAGAAGTCAACTCAGGATTCTAATACAGAGACATTATTATACAAATATTTGCAAATTATTAAACCTCAACGAAATATTTTCACATTTTTATGTCTCAACGGCTTGGCAAATTTTCTAGATTCTTTTTGCAAAAATTTCAAGTATTTATGTGCTCTCTAACTTGTTAAGTTAACCTTATGTAATTTACTAATTTTGAAAGTTTTTTTTTTTTTTGGGACAATTTCTTTTCAAAAACTATCTTTGGAGAGCACTTATTTTAATTTAATTAATTTGAAATAAAATGCTATTTTTTATCAATATTAAAACATTAATTGAACATAACCAATGTTCCAAATATTTTTTGTTTTTTAAGAAAAACAACTTTTGCTATTAAAAATCAAAAGAACCTTATTTTTTTTCTTCCTAAAATCTTGATCAATTCAAAAGTTGTCTTTCTTCAATTCAGTTACCATTTTCTAATATATCATGGTCAAGTGAATCCTATAGTATACCTATTTCAAGAACAAATAGTATAAATGAGTTATCTAGTCAATGTCATAACTCATAAGCAATCTCAAATAAGTTTTCACAATTTACACGACCTTTATATAGTAGCTTAATAAAAACTTGGTCCAATATGATATAACAAAATTATGAATTATTTTTATAATGTTTATGTTTTTCTTTTAATATTTTTTTATTATCTGATTGAGTTTAAAAACGTATCAACACAAAATAGGAAGGGAGTGATAATTTAACACAACTCAACCGCTTTTGAATTAATATTCAAATAGAAAGGGATTAATAGTTTTAACACAACTCAACCACGTTTGAATTAACATTCAAATAAAATACAAAAATAATTTAACACAACTCAACCGCGTTTGAATTAATATTCAAATGGGAAGGGATTAATAGTTTTAATACAACTCAACCATGTTTGAATTAACATTCAAATAAAATACTAAACTGATTTTATCTAATTCCACTTGTAGATGTGTTTCCACGAGTAATTACTGATTAGGGAATTAATTGTTGCTTGGCACCAGGAATTACATATTCGAGGAAGGAATAACTTTTTTTCTTATACTTACAAAGAAAAAAAAGGATAAATACTAAATTGTTATTTTTTTAGAATTTTGATGATATTATACGGACACTATAAATTGCAATTTTTTTTATATCAATATGATGAAAAAATACATCTTAAAATATTGGTTAAAATTTATATCGTTTGATTCTTAAAAAGAAAATCATGACAACTAAAATGGAATGGAAGGAGTAAGATTTAAAGAGGGTAAAATATAATTAACTCCCAAATTTAAAATGATATTTTTGGTATTGTGCCAATTTTTATATGAATAATTGAAACTCGTATATATAGAAAGTGTTAAACTTCCAAGAAGGGAGTAAATAACGTACTAAAATTATCAACTGAATAATAATAATTCACATGTGAACAAGAGAATTAAAGGATGATAGTGAATTGGTTTGATTCAAATGAAACATTATTACTATTAATACTATTTCACTCTCATTTTATTTTTTTCATTGAGTAATTATTAAGTCTCTCATCTTTTATAGCAATACACATAATTTCAAGGAAATGATCTCTTATAACACTTGCAAAATTTAAAATTAATTTTTTTTTAAAATCTCTTATATGTTACTTTCATATATCTTTTATATATATAAAAAAATGAAAATCATTTGTATAAGGCCATAGTTTCGCAAGTGTGACTTTATGAAGGTGTTGTATTAAATAATCAATTGTTTATAGATTTTATGATTAAATTTTTAAATTTTGCTTATTTTAATTTGTGTTTTTTTTATCAAAATTATTTTTCAAAATATTACTTTTGGAGAGTATCAATGTTTTGCTAATATTAGAGATACAATTTGTGGTTAGTCAAAATTTCAAAGTATTTATGAATAGAAATACAATTTGTGATTGGTCAAGATTTCAAAAATATTTATGCAAAAAAATTGTAAACAATTTTTACTATTCACTAAATTAAGCACTTTTTAAAAAGGAATAAGAGCACTTATAACTTTCCAAACCTCGGCCAAACAGGTTTCCCTACAATCTTTTTTTTTCTTTTTCTTTTCATTAATCAATAGACTATAATTTGAATCATTCGTTCGAATAACATAACTTTTTTTTTAAATCTTTCTTCGGTATGAACACTCTAAAAATAGAAGTTTTTTTATTTATTTATTTTGATTAACTTATTTGACAAATTTTACTAAACTTAAACCTATAATAATAAAATAAACTAACAAGAGAGAGATTGACTTAATTTTCTCTTCAAAGACAAATGGCTCGTTTGGTCGAATTTATACAATTAGATTATTTTGAGAAGTGTTTTTTTTCCAAAATTACTTTTTGAAAAAAGTATTTTTGGTGAGATACATTTTGTCTTTATCAATAAATAGATGTATAAAATATACTTTTAAACAATAGTTAGTAATTTAGTATTTGACTAAACTTTTTAAACATATTTTCCAAGTGTATTTAGGAATAATTACTGGTACTTTGTTGGGTTTAAAAAAAAAAATAGAACAGTAAAAAAAGAGTTGAAAATGTTTCTCATTATTTTTATCAGGCAGCTTTAAATAACCAACTTACAACAAAAAAAAACAACACAATTCAAAGTTCAAAAACCTAAAATATCTCAACAAACTAAAACAACATGATACAATTTAAAATTTAAAATTCAAAATTCAAATCATCCTAAACCTAAGAAAATTACCGCATTAATTTAAAGCAATTTTGAACATACTTTGCTATATTTTCTCCTAAAGTCTCCCTTAAAAAAAACACTTTTTTTTTTATAAAAAAAAACATAAATACTTTTTGGCAAGCTTGGCCAAACACGTAAAAATTGTTATGACTACTGACTAATCTTGTTCCAAATTTGGATCTCGAAAATGTGTTGAAATTTCACCATAAGGTTTTATTAAAAATATTTCCTAATTTAGGATTTTTTTGGTCAAAATTTTAGTGTAATTTTCAAAAGGAAGTCCAATTAATGACAGATTATGATGGAGCTGAAATAGTAAACAGAATATTTCTCCTCGTAGAAAATCAGTTGCTACAAATATTGATATATATTTATTAGTCCCCGTCTCAAATTACTCGTCACATTTTTATGAAGAGTCAAACCATCTAAATTTTGACCAACGTGCTAAGATGTAATTAGATTAAGGTTAGAAAAGTAGCTAAATAAGTATTCTAGGGTAAAAGGGGTAGTGATATTAATACACATCTATTAAAAAATATCAAATACAAGTCAAATGTAGTTGACCAATATACATTGAGAGAGGAACCATAACCAATATATAGTTTTGACACAAGGCAAGGACATAGCTAGAATTCTAGTTACAATTTTGATAAAACTCAATAATTTTGATCAAAACTCTGTATTTGTATTAAGAAATTTACTTAATATATATAATACTTTATCGAGAACCTAGTAAGCTGCATTTTCTAAATTTACCTATGTCTTACCCGCCTAGACTAAAAAAGCTTCCCAATCCAGTTAGTGCTAGAGGCAATGTGGCAGAAAATATCTGCTTGTGATACATTAGTCATCTCTATCTATGTGGTTAGGACTATGTAAAAATACTATCGGATGTGTGTCAGATCCTCGAAAAGCTATGCATTTTCGGAGAATCAACTACGAGTGCGGCAAGATATTTGAAAGGTCTAGACAACATAAATCTTCATGCTTGATTCCCTTGTATCTTGATATTCTAATAATGAGACACTTCAAACATATAATCTATATGGACTTGATCAGTGCCTCAGCTTTTGTCATAGCTCTCTAGTGCTGTTATCACAATCAAGAACTCTTCCTTTACTAATGTAATCTCCTGTTTTGCACTAAAGCTCCCTCTATGCCCAGGGTCCCGGGGACGGGACGGACCACAAGGGCTATGTGACCAAGAGGTCACGGGTTCAAGTTGTAAACTCAATTTGTAAGGTGAGTAAAACCATTCAACTCTGCACGGTTATGACGTTGGGAAATGAGATAAACAAGAAAAGCCACATACGCAGAAGCTCCCAGGCAAGCCACAAAACCAAACAACAGGCCATTAACTTCAGAAAGGAAGAAGCTCAACATGACATATCCATTGATCATTATTACCAGGGCAGCTACTGTCCACACAGTTCTCTGCAATCAAAAATTAAAGTGTATGAGATACTGAGCATAAAATCCTCTGTCTTAAATTCAACAGAAAAGGGTCAAAAATTCCTGTCTTTGAGAATAAACAGATTCTAGCCTATATAGGGGGTTAATACCTCAGATGGTCACTCAACTATCCAGTCTTTCCTCAGAAAGTCACTCACATGGTGACTTTTTAGTGAAAATTAAAAGTTGAGTGACTTTCTGAGGCAAAAGTGGATAGTTGAGTGACCATCTGAGGTATTAACCCCCTATATAGGCTATATGAAGGAGAGCCAATTAATTATATGCAAGACAAACATGTTACAGTTTAGTGAATAGAAATGATCATCATCGTGCTAAAAGGCGCGTTAACAAAGCAATTTCTATTATAAATAAGTACGGTAGGGCTTTTGATGCCTAACCTCCATGAGCTTCCCAATCTTGAAGATTCCCATGATCTTTTCATTTGACACTAATGTTAGAAGAGGTATGATAGCAAATGGAATCTGCATGCCTTGAAGCACGTTTAGCCATTCATTGAGAACATCGAGTGAATCTTCTGATCTGTTGAAATAGATGGCCACGATTATGGTTGGTACAATGGCACAACTCCTCGTAATCACTGACCTTATCCATTTCTTCATCTGCAGATTCAGAAAGCCTTCCATTATAAACTGTCCAGCATAAGTACCTGTCATGGTGCTACTTTGACCAGCTGCCAAAAGGCCAATGCTCCATATGTAGAGAATTGGGAAAACCCCCCCACCATATCTTTCTTGAAGATATTGCCCTGCATTTACTAGGCCTATACTATCAGCTTGCAAAGTTCCATAAAAACCCTTAGCGAACACAGCTGTTACCATCAAATTGATAGAGAACGAAACAAAAACAGCAATGTAAGACTCAATTGAGTAGTAGTTCAGTGCCTCTTGCACTTTGTCTTTCTTTTTGGGATCAATTTTTCTAGACTGCACCAAAGCGGAGTATAGAAATACGTTGTGAGGAGTTATGACACAGCCGACAACTCCAACAGCCGTCTGAATTGTCTTTGAGCTGAGTCTAGGTAGCCATAGACCTGAAAAATGTTCAAGCTAAAGAATTTAATGTAGGAACAGAATTGATATAGACTACATTAATACAGAAATGTACATGTGAATGCCTGATTCTGACCTATTATGAGTTCCTTGCTACTAGGCCTAGTTTCAGCAAACATCCAGGCAAATGATAATGCCATAGTGGAAATTAGAACAGCGAAAAACGCTTCTAGTTTCCTAACTCCATAATTTTCCAGAAATAAGAAGATGAAGCTGTTATTCAAACAAAACAATCATTGTCAGCAGTGACGGAGCCAGTAATTCAAGTAAGGACATTCAAAAACGAAAAAGGAATTCTTATACCAAGGAGATTCAACAACTTATATATATACAAAAAAAAAAACATTTTTTCCCTATCTATGTAGTGTAATTTTTCAAAGAAGTAGGTTCAATTGACCCTCCTTTGGCTCCCCCCCTGATTGTCCGCAGAGCAACAGACCTATCGACTCCAAAAACATTTTATAGTATAGAGTTCAGTTCATATTTTGTAAGGCAAGAAATCAAAAGCTAACTTTTTTTCGATTTCAATTGATTGAATAACAACAACAAAGGGGGAAAACAACATCCAAGTTTGTGGTCTAACGATCAATAATGTGGGCGAAACTTATGTGAGGCAGGGGCTAATAAGTCCTAGCACAAACAAAAAAAACTACTGTAAGTGGTTTCTTCTATTCTATCAGAGCATTGCTGGAAAGAATTATCGGTAGCAGGGTACAACAACAACAACATACCAATGTAGTCATACAAAGTGAGGTCTGGGAACCTCATAGGTACAGAGGTTGTTTCCGCTAGACCCTCAACTCAAGGAAAAACAATCCAAGGCAATCCAGAAAAAGAAGTAACGTAAGTACAAGAAACAATAGATTGTAAAACTCAATAGATAATAACAAAACAATAGTATAACAAGAAAATACTATAGTCCAAGTACAAAAAACAATTATCGGTAGCATGGTATCGGACAGCATACTTCAAGGTACTCGCAAAATGGCACGGAAACCAAAGTAAAAGGAGAACTCACCAATCAGAAGCAGTAATGAGTACACCACCCCAAAGAGGAATAACCCCTTGACTAAGTATCTTAATAGCAATAGCACTTCCTATAACTTCCTGAATATCAGCTCCAATCAATGCCACCTCCGCCATTAACCAAAGCAAAATCCTTGCCCAATTTGGATACTCCTCCCGGCAGATCTCAGCCAAATGCCGTCCTGTAGCAACACCCAACCTAAGGGACAACAACTGAATGAGCAACCCCATGAAAGTAGACCACATAAGCAACCATAGCAACGAGTAGCCCGCGATAGCTCCAGCCTGCAAATCTCCCTCCAAATTCCCTGGATCGAGAAATGCAACACTCATTAAAAATCCAGGCCCTATAAACTCCCATAACTTCTTCCATGAGAAATGCGGGACCACATCAAGGGCCTCAGCTCTGTCTATTTCAATGGCCAAAATTTTATTCTTATCATTATCATCATCACCATCATTGTCAGATAATAGACGATTAAATTCTCGATCCTGGGGTACATGTTTGTTGATTTCTACGACGCCATCATCCTCCGATGATGGAGAATTCACCATAGTTCTACGTGTATTTTCTCAAATTTTTATTGCTCTAATATGACCAAGAGACTTACATCTTGTCATATAAATTTAAAATATGATCCATCAGCGTCGGTGATTAAGGTTGGGGACCATCATTTGCATTTATTTTGTTCTTGCACTTTTTTTCTTTCACGTCATAAAGCCGGAGGAATACGCTCATCGAAAGCAATGTCGATATATTTAATGTACATTTTCTACCTCACCCCGTTGCCAAGTCAAAATCAGACAAATATCAACAATAATATAAAAAAGAAACTCAATTGACTTGTTAAAAATAGTTTGTTCATAAAAAATCTCTAATTAAGAATACGTGTGGGTAGGGGTGATAGTGCGTAAGAGTTAAGATCATCAAAATGTGCTTTACTAATAATATCAGTTCGAAAGATTTTTTTGTGTCTCGCACAACAGACAACCTCATTTTGTCTTATAAGTAGGTGGACCCAAAATCTGTCTTATGGACCCAAAATATGTAAAATTTGAGTTCACCTAATTGTGTAGATGAATAGAGGCATTTTCCCCCTTTTTTACTCCCTTAATTTGGTATCAAAATCATCCAAATAGAGCACAAAATGAAAGGTCACTCCCATCTACAACAAACCAAGTTAAAAAAAGAGAAGCCATGAATTGAGCAAAAGCATCAAAAGCCTATCACAAGTAAAGATCCAAACACTTCACTTGTGAGTATTGATGTAAGTCACTTCTAATCAGCTGAACCAAAAACTACATTACTGCACAATAGAAATTTTTCTTGCAAAAAAATTAATGACTTTGAAGTTCTGTCTCTATTCGATAAATACAACATTGTGGATCGTTTATGCCTGCAATGAACAAGTATCTTCATCCGGCGGACTATATACTTTCTTCATCCTCTATATATAACTGATGTCAATATTTCGGGATAGTTTGCTCCATTATTTCTTTTGGGGAACCTACAGCTAAAAGCAAATGCTGACAGTTTCTGGAAATCTATTATGACAGTTAGGACATAATGAAATTGGAATCTCTTCAGATGAAAGAATGCTTCAGTAGTCAAACTTCCTGAGCCATGGCCTCTCTGCAATGTAGTGATTTACTATATTTACGACGTTTGGATTTGACGGAATGTATTATCTTAGATGTCTCATTGACCAGCATAGCTATATCCTTTTGTGCGGAGTAGGTTGAACCAATTGGCAACATTGCCACCCCCATGTGAAATAAGGTATAAAATGAAGGCAATATAACCAGCAGTCCCAGCACAGACAAGAAAAGCAAACAGCAATCCGTTGACCTCAGAGACAAAGAAGTCCAGCAAAAGATAGCCGTTTATCACCATCACAAGTACAGCAATAGTCCATGCAACTCTCTACAGTAATAGAACAGGCAGTTCAAAATAGGATTCACATAAAAAAAACGCACTCGACAAAAGACTGTCGAAAATTTAGGATACAAAAGCTGAAACGCTAATGAATTTACAACAGCTTCACGCATGCAATAAGATTAACTTAGTCCTGATAATTTTAACGAATCAACCTGATAACTCTGAAAGGACTGTACATTTTATGTAGTTTGTCTTATTCATAGCTGTGTCAAGCTGGCTACGACGACAAAACAAATTAAAAGAAGATTTTTTATGGAATGGAATGTGTTGCAAATTTTTACTAAGATCCTCCATTATCAATTTCATTCAGATATTTATCATTAAGCATAGAAAGGTGTAGCCGGTCAATGAAGATGGAATGGACCATGGAGACTATCATTCAATTTCCAGAAGAGACAAAAGAAGCTAGTTATTTATTCGCATCTGTTTAAGCTATGCTGTACAAAGTTAACCGGTATTGTGCTGGTGGGAGGCACAGCTCTCATTAGATTAGTCAAGGTGACTCTGATTCTGACACCATCATTATCGAAATAAATGAAAACAGTATAAAATATATATCATTAATTTCAAAGTTTTGCATTTAGACATCAAACACGCCTAGGACCTATGATATATGGACTAGGATGTGGATACATATCCGAAATCTGGTTAAAAGGGTACATGCAGGTATTACTAATCTTTTTTATATTCTACTCATACCATGTCACACCCATTCGATACGGGTTACATCGAAACAATTGAAGGATCCATGTATCGTAGCAAAAGACTACTAGCTCAAAATAAGTAAGACGATTCTAATTTCTAGAAGCATATCCACATTGAAACACAAGAAACTGACTTGATCGTGTAACTATTTATGCTATTATGACCAAACAAGCACCTTTCACATATCTAGACACTCACGATGATAATCAGAAACTAGGTTGTTTTTGCTAACTTTATAGTTTTGATTTTTTCCGTTCTCATTCAACAGTTTAAAAATTCTGCACTTTCTGACATCAAACTCACACAAAATTGCTAGCCACCAAAATAACTGAGATGATTTGAATTTTAAAATCATAGCTGATGTGGGAAGAAATAAATAAATGAAGGAATTGACCATGCTTGAGACAGTTTCATGTCTAATCTTAAGAAAGTAAATAGACATGAAAGTCAAAACTAAAGATAATGGGAAAGGGACCTTACCTCGAGAGTAGGCCCAATTTTGAAAGTACCCATTATATCCTCCTTGGACACCAATGTTAAAAGGGGAATAAGAGCAAAAGGGATCTGTATAGACTGGAGCACATTAAGCCACTCATTCAAAACGTCGAGTGATGATTCAGATCTATTAAAAATCAGAGCAACAATGATTGTTGGCACAATGGCACAACTTCGAGTAATCAGTGCCCTAAGCCATTTCTTCAAACGTAGATCTAGAAAACCTCCCATAATAAACTGTCCAGCATAGGTACCGGTTATCGTACTACTCTGCCCAGCTGCCAGTAACCCAATGCCCCAAATATAGAGAATTGGGAACAGTCCCCCACCATACTTGTCCTGAAGAAACTGCCCTGCATTTACAAGGCCTAAACTACCAGCTTGCTCACTGCCATAAAATCCCTTGGCAAAGACAGTTGTAACAAACAAATTGATCATAAAGGAGATAAGAAGCGCAAAGGAGGATTCTATTGAGTAGTAATTCAGTGCCTCCTGAACCTGCCCTTTTTTCTTCAAATCGATCTCTCTGGATTGCACCAAAGCTGAATGCAAGAAGACATTGTGAGGCATTATTACACAACCAACTACTCCAACAGCCTGCCGAACTGTCCTTGAACTGAGTTTTGGAATCAAGAGACCTGTGAAGATAATGAAATGTGTTTGAACCAAAAACACATCAGCACCTACCCAATATGATACCATGTAATTAAACTAAACAAACGCTAAAATAAGAAAAGCACCTGCTAAAAGCTCCTTCCCATTTGGTTTGGCATCTCCAAACATCCAAGCAAAGGACAGTGCCATAGTCGAAATTAGAACAGCAAACACAGCTTCCAACTTCCTTATACCATAGTTCTCAAGAACCAAAAGAAGAAAGCTGTTTACAAAACAGAACAAAAGAAAAACTAGTCAACAGATTGATCAATTAACAAGGGGAGCATGCAATCGTAAGTTCAGCCTTATGATGGTATGTAATGCAAACCAGAACACCAAAGCAGATTAATTCCATTAAAGGGTACTACATCAGCCAATCAACTACACCTCAATCCTGAAAAGATGGGGTTGGCTACATGAATCCTTTGTATCCATAGTCCATTCCCTCTATTCAGGTCCAAAACTATTACGGCAAACTAAGGGTTATTTAAATCTTGTAATCGTCCCTGCATTACATACAAGTCTCTAAATAGAACAGAAATACATTTAACAAACCCTTGCATGAAGAAGAAACATACTACATGTAAAAGCAAACTATGATCTCAGTTCATGAGCATTGAACAGACTGTACATTTCGCATCCAAGTGGCAAACAAAATAAAACTACTACTGAATAAATGCTGATTTCAACTAAAGTAGTGATCTTTTGAGTTAAACAACTCCAATTAGACGAAAATTTACCAATCAGAAGCAGTAATAAGGACACCAGCCCAAAGTGGTAAAACCCCACGACTGAGTATCTTAATTGCAATGGCACTCCCTATCACCTCCTGAATATCGGCTCCAATCAGAGCCACCTCAGCCATGAACCACAGTAGAAGCCCAGCCCATCTAGGATACTCCTCCCGGCAAAGCTCCGCCAAGTGCCGGCCTGTTGCAACGCCAATTCTGGCAGACAGTAGCTGGATCATCAAACCCATAACAGTGGCCCATAACAACAGCCATAGAAGCGAGTAACCCGCAATTGCCCCAGCTTGCAGATCCCCCTCCAAATTCCCCGGATCCAAAAAAGCTATACTCATTAAGAATCCAGGACCCGTGAACTGCCATAGCTTCTTCCACGAGAATGGAGGCACCGTGCTATAATCAACACCGTCGATCGGTACTGAATCGAATTCAACGACGTGGATCTTCTCCCCAGATCCGTACGCAAATTCTTCTTCGCCGTCATCAGCATCGCCGTTAATTAACGGCGACGTTGACTGTGGCAGCGGGGCGGTAAGAAGGTGACGAGATTCTTCGTCTTTGGAATCCGGAGAGGTATTTTCTTGCTGTGGAGGGGAGCTCATTGTCTCATTGTAACAGTCACCGGAATTCCTCAGTTCAGGTAATCCTTTGTTCGTAATTGCTATAAGAGGAGGCGTATGTTAGAGAAAAGGTGGCGGCGGTGGTGGCGGCGGTGGTGGAGGAATCAGAAATATGCCCGATAAAGAAAGATTAAGGTATTGTGCCGGGCTCGTGGCACTCACTGGCAAAGGTCGTTATATATATTTTGTATCAGCTGTTTTTCGGATGTTTCGTGTACTACTCTATTATCCTATCAGATTTAACGAATCAATA